TTGCTCTTAATTACCCAGAAAATATATCTATGTTTCAGGTGTCGATTGTTAGAAATGAAATATTTCAATGCCAAATGAAAGAGAAATATAAACTGACACAGACATAAGATCCGCTGCATGACCAAAACACTGCTGTTCAATAAACATAATGTACTCTAAATAGACAATAACTCCTCTAAATTAACATTTTCCACTTGTTGGGCCTACTATTGTTCTTCTGCATACAGAAAAAAAAGGTGCAAACTATCTTTGAGGCGGTATCTTTTCAAAAGTTACTAATCTGTACTTTTATAGCAGGCTGATAGGCTATACTTTTACACTAATATATAACTTTAATATTTTTGTTTTTTGATTTTGATACTATTTTGAAGCCTATCTTTACAAGAAAGAAAAGCCTTTGACTGAAAGAGAAAGCTATAATGGTCCACGTGATGTGTTTGTCTGAAATAAAATCAAATGGAAGTAACAGTACATGCGCTTATAGTAATGCATCAACCAATCAGAATCGAGGCGCCGGTCCTATAGAAGCAGACTGTGGCTGCGGCTCGAAACCTAGTGGGCTGCCTAAGTAGACAGCCTTTCTAAGCAACACACAGAACACATGCGATGCTCAAAATGAGGCAGCTCGCTATGCTTCGGGTCACACCATAATGATGTTCTTACTGAAAAACCTTATTGCATAATAGGGAAACGTTCATCCATGGCATCCGATTGACTCGTTTTATTGCTTTTATATAGGCAAATAGCCTATATTTAAAATATTATTTCTTGTTTTGAAGTCACGCCTAGTGATAGACCGATGCATAAAAATAATACATAATAATATAATGGTATATTACAAACGAGTTCATCCCACCATAATAAACCAAACAACAAAAAGAATCAAGAATGAGCGCGTGTATTTATATACACATGCTTGATGCTTTTCTGTTATTATTCTAGAAGGAATCACAGTAACCTCGTCACCAGAGGCAAATACGCTTCATGACATCAATACGTCAATATAAACCAAAAGTGATCTTTGATTTCACGAATAAACGGATATCTATACGTGAGTCATATTTCCCAGTGACCTTATTTAATTATTAAATAAGCGCGATGAAAATGTTATGATTATGATAGGTTCTGGATTATTCTCACAGGACCACACTCGCCTCTTCTAAGCTGATATGATAATTTGTGGGTAAATAAATGTCTTACCCATGATAATATTCTAAGGACGGTCTGCGGCTGTTGGATAAAGGCAATAGGGTCGAACGCAGCACCGGCTCTCCCAGCACCAAATGAACCCACTCCGTCCATTTTCCTCCTACTGTTATTCAGGCTCTGGGCTGTGGGTCGAGGCAGATACACACACACACACACACACACACACACACCCAGCACTGCCTGTCAGAGGCGTGCGCGCTCTCTCTGTGATTCTGTGCATTACAAAGTCTCAACAACAACAACATCTACCGACGACATCTCGTCCTCAGCTGGGAGACCGCTAACTTCATAGAGCAGGACTTCAACTTCGCCAACAAATGGAACATTTTGGGGGAGCATGCAGAATATTTTGTCAAGGAAAGGGTACTATTTGAAGAGAACAGTTCCATAACCAAACCATTCTCATATAAAAATGACAGTTAACCAAAATCTATGACTTTCTTTGTGAAGAACATTAGGGTCCAAACAACAAACAGTGTCATTCAGGTTTGGAACGACATTGTTTTGACTATCACAACATACTTCACATGAATGAGTGTAATTCCTAAACAATCATGCAGTCTGGCTTTATCATTCTCATTATAGTCTTAACACAAATGATAATGCATAGATAAACATTTATTTTTCATGATAAGGGAAGCAATGTGAGAAAACTAAGCTATAGCATTCGGGACATAATACTGTAGCCTATCCTTGCAAGACAAATGAACATGCAAATGTCTTGCTTAAGAAGCTTATCTAGATGCAACTGAATATGACCAAAAATTTATTATTCTTACCCTTTTTGAATTTGAGTAATTTATTAAGACCTCTAAACCATTGGTATTCAACTAGGAAACCACATAGCACACTTTCACGGAGACCACAAGATGGCTTAAAAGTATTTAAAATAACACAAACAACATTACTTTCCACTGGAAAAGGTAGATAGAGGACTATTTTTTCCCGGTTTGACATGAATGTCTTGATGAATTTGTTTATTATTATAAACACACCTCTTTTTAGTACACAAGACATTAATTGAAAGTCTGGAGTGGTGTGGATTACTGTGGTGTTTTTATCAGCTGTTTGGACTCTCATTCACACACACACACACACACACACACACACACACACACACACCCCGGGCGTGCGCAATCTCTCTGTGATTCAGTGTATTACATTGTCTCAACAACACCATCTACCGACTACCTCACGTCCTCACTCAGCTGGCAGACCGCTAACTTCACAGAGCAGGGCTTCAGCTTCAAAAACAACTGGAACATTTTAGGGTGGCATGCAGAATATTTAGTCAAGGAAAGGGTAATATTTGAAGATAACAGTTCCATAACCAAAACAATATCACATAAAAATGATAGTTAACCCAAAATCTATACGACTTTCTTTCTTCAGTGGAACACAAAAGATGATAATATTAAATTGCATATAATGAAAGTCAATAGGGACACAAAAGAAAATGTTTTTGACTATCACAGCATACTTCATATGAATGAGTGCAATTCTAAAACAGTGATGCACTCTGGCGTTATCATTCTACACTGCGATATTATAGGTTTACATACAATAATAATGCATACATAAAAATGACTTTTTCATGATAAGGAAAGCAATGTGGGAAGACATAATACTATAGCCTATCCTTGCCACATTTGTGAACAGCAAATAAGCATGCAAATGAATTGAGTTTTGGTTGTTTTAAGAAACGCATCTTGATGCAATTGAACATGATCAACAATTCATTGTTTTACCCATTCTTGAATATGAATAATTTATTGAGATGTCTAAACCATTGGTCTTCAACTGGGAAACCACAGCACACTTCCAAGGGGACCACAAGATGGCTTAAAATGATTTAAAATAACATTAAGTTTTCACTAGAAAAAAAAGCAATATTATGGATAGAGAACTATTTTATCTGGTTTTAAATTAAAAACATCTTCATGATGAATTTGTTTATTACAAACACGTCTTTTTGCTTTACAAGACATTATTTGAAAGTCTGGAGTCGTGTGGATTACTTGTGATGTTTTTATCAGTTGTTTGGACTCTCATTCTGACGGCACCCATTCACTGCAGAAGATCCATTAGTGACCAAGTGATGTAATGTAAAATTTCTCCAAATCTGTTCTAATGAAACAAACTCATCTACTGTACATCCTTTTTATTACAAACACGTCTTTTTGCTTTACAAGACATTATTTGAAAGTCTGGAGTCGTGTGGATTACTTGTGATGTTTTTATCAGTTGTTTGGACTCTCATTCTGACGGCACCCATTCACTGCAGAAGATCCATTAGTGACCAAGTGATGTAATGTAAAATTTCTCCAAATCTGTTCTAATGAAACAAACTCATCTACTGTACATCCTTGATGGCCTGAGGGTGAGTACATTTTCAGCAAATTTTCATTTTTGGGTGAGCTATTCATTTAATTGCCATTCCATGTTTCTGTAAATAAATTATTATTTTTTTTAAACAAGCAGCTTTGTCTTTATAGCAGAACTATCAGAAATATCTTGGGGAATATTCAGTTCAGGGCAGATATGATTATTTGTAGGTAAATAAATGTCTTACCCATGATAATATTCTAAGGATGGTCTGCGGCTGTTGGATAAAGGCAATAGGGTCGAACGCAGCACCGGCTCTCCCAGCACCAAATGAACCCACTCCGTCCATTTTCCTCCTACTGTTATTCAGGCTCTGGGCTGTGGGTCGAGGCAGATACACACACACACACACACACACACACACACACACACACACACCCCGGGCGTGCGCAATCTCTCTGTGATTCAGTGTATTACATTGTCTCAACAACACCATCTACCGACTACCTCACGTCCTCACTCAGCTGGCAGACCGCTAACTTCACAGAGCAGGGCTTCAGCTTCAAAAACAACTGGAACATTTTAGGGTGGCATGCAGAATATTTAGTCAAGGAAAGGGTAATATTTGAAGATAACAGTTCCATAACCAAAACAATATCACATAAAAATGATAGTTAACCCAAAATCTATACGACTTTCTTTCTTCAGTGGAACACAAAAGATGATAATATTAAATTGCATATAATGAAAGTCAATAGGGACACAAAAGAAAATGTTTTTGACTATCACAGCATACTTCATATGAATGAGTGCAATTCTAAAACAGTGATGCACTCTGGCGTTATCATTCTACACTGCGATATTATAGGTTTACATACAATAATAATGCATACATAAAAATGACTTTTTCATGATAAGGAAAGCAATGTGGGAAGACATAATACTATAGCCTATCCTTGCCACATTTGTGAACAGCAAATAAGCATGCAAATGAATTGAGTTTTGGTTGTTTTAAGAAACGCATCTTGATGCAATTGAACATGATCAACAATTCATTGTTTTACCCATTCTTGAATATGAATAATTTATTGAGATGTCTAAACCATTGGTCTTCAACTGGGAAACCACAGCACACTTCCAAGGGGACCACAAGATGGCTTAAAATGATTTAAAATAACATTAAGTTTTCACTAGAAAAAAAAGCAATATTATGGATAGAGAACTATTTTATCTGGTTTTAAATTAAAAACATCTTCATGATGAATTTGTTTATTACAAACACGTCTTTTTGCTTTACAAGACATTATTTGAAAGTCTGGAGTCGTGTGGATTACTTGTGATGTTTTTATCAGTTGTTTGGACTCTCATTCTGACGGCACCCATTCACTGCAGAAGATCCATTAGTGACCAAGTGATGTAATGTAAAATTTCTCCAAATCTGTTCTAATGAAACAAACTCATCTACTGTACATCCTTGATGGCCTGAGGGTGAGTACATTTTCAGCAAATTTTCATTTTTGGGTGAGCTATTCATTTAATTGCCATTCCATGTTTCTGTAAATAAATTATTATTTTTTTTAAACAAGCAGCTTTGTCTTTATAGCAGAACTATCAGAAATATCTTGGGGAATATTCAGTTCTTGTCTTACAATGAGGGGCTTTGGAGCTCAAAAAGCTGAGAATCACTGCTCTAAACAAAGCATTTTTGTTTCCAGCTGTTGCACAGATTTTTACAGAGCTCATCCTGTTTCCTCTGGGCTAATCATATGCATGGAGAGCTCAATAATACAAAACAATATGGGCCATAACACCATACTCTTGTAGACAGCAAAACTCTTGATTAAAAGCACAATACAGACAACTGTATATGAATAAATCACTCTATCAATTAGTGCAAAGTCAACATCTATCATGTTTGTGCATGACTCCTGAGTGGCACTTGCAACAAAAAGGACAGGTCCACAGAATCAGTGTGCGGCTGCATTTTGCTCATGTTCATGATTGTGTTGGAGGTTTTCAGTCACAAGATCCATCTTTCCAGCCATCTCGCCATCGCTCATCCACCTTGCTGCAGTCATACTCTGGCTTGCCTAATCGGATGTTGATGTCATTATGGAGGCGACACAGCCACTGTGAGAGGTTGTGCCGACTGCTAGCGTCTGGTTGATTCGTTTTCAGTCTGATAAGACACAAGATCATTGAAACATATGCTACCAAACACAAATTGCAAACACTGCAATGCTTCTGCTGAAATGCTAAAAGACAAACATAAAAACCACAACAATAAATGATGACAACCTTGATCTCAGGTCCTCTGCACACTCATCACATGGGAAAACCTTTGAGAAGAGGTTGATGAACTGTGTCATCTCCCCCTGTTGTTCTGTGGTCGGTGTGTCTGGATAATATGCAGCCATAGTGTGAAGAAAAGACCATGAGCTCCTTCCCAGTTCCTCTCGGTCTAGAGGGCATTCAACAGGCCTAGCCTCCTCCATCGGCATGCTCTCCTGTTCAAAATATCACATGACTGTTTACTGTCATAGCACAACATTATTGTAGCCATTTACATTTATACATAAGGTATACATGTGTTTCCTAGGAATCAAACATATGACTCTGGGTTGATGCAATTCTCTGGCAGCTGAGCTATAGTTCTTGAAAAGTAACCATAATTATGATTGGTGTCTCTGTTGTTAAACACAATATTCTGCTTATTTATTTTCTAAATATTTTTCTTAACAGAAACTAAGAGTACTGACTGATTAGTGTACATCCTTAAAACAATAAAGAAACATGGTTTAAGTTTACATCTTGATTTTGAGATTGTTTAGCATTTTAATTTATATTAGAGCTTAGTTTTTTTTATTATTATATAATTTTATTATGTATTATATTATTATATTTAAATGTTACTATTATTATTATTATGTTAATAATCATTATATTAATAATGTATTAAGGTAAATACTTTAAAGCATGTTATTGGAGTAGCTTCAACTCGCGGACATGAAAAAACACCCGCGGCAACAGTGTTAAAGTAGCCCAATTCCACGGGAAAACCGCGGACTTGGCAACACTGGTTATGTACTACAAGGGTTGCCAGATCTCCGTAAAATCAATACTTATCAAATCAAGCTTAAAAACTAGCCCAAATATCAAAAACGTAGACTGTATAAAAACAGATCAAAACTTAAAACATGCGATTCCCATTCGCAAAATACATATTTTACTCTGTGCACTGAACACATTTTACAACTTACACAGTCTGTTTTCATACATTAAATCATCTTACCTTAATATTAACAGCTGGTGAATAAAATTATTAGGTGGGATGGTAATATTTCTTAACTACTTGAAAATAACTATTTACAGTTTTAAGATCTTGTTCTGATGCCACTCTTCTCCTTGGTCTTTGCCATACATTTCTGCACATAATCTCCTTACCAGTCTAGCACAGTTTTATTATGGGTAATATAAATTGTACAGAGTGCAATATTTCAATACAAGCAAGTTAAAGATAAGCCATATTTTGCTGTAAAACCAAGTAGCCCCTCACTGCGGAACACAAGATCAAGGGGACGAGGTTGGATCCACATCTAGGGGGTGGAGATGGTAGGTTTAGGGGTGGAGATGGGTGGGTTTGGGGATCAGGGGGTGGAGACGGGTAGGTTTAGGGGTGGAGATGGGTGGGTTTTGGGATCAGGGGGTGGAGACGGGTAGGTTTAGGTATATGTAAGGTGGGAGGAGTTGGATCTGGAGCCAACCACGCCCCCTGGATCTTGTGTTCTGCGGTGAGGACCATCTCGTAAAACCGCGGACCTGGCAACCCTGTGTATTTTCAAGGTGAACGAATCGTTATTTTGAGCCGGATCTTCTGATTGAGCATGATAAGTTAAGCGGTTCACACAACTGATCTGAATTATTTATAAACAGCGACAGGTGCCTTCACGTGGCTTTATTAGAACGAAAATGACGACGTAATTGTGTCCTCAGGTAAAAGAATCATTAAGCCTATTCTTTGAAACAAATGTTCGATTGAATCGATTCGTAGAAATGACTCAGAATTCAAATCCAACCACTGTAATGTATCATAGGAGCGTTTGTTGTTGATCATGTGTTGGATTTATGTCAATTATCCACAGTATGTCAACAACGGGTAAACATACTATAACTGGCATTTCACACAAAAAAATTCAGTAACAGTGACTATATTAAATTATATGTTCAGGAATTAAATATGAAAGAATTTGTTTCACACCGGAGCAGTTTCTCCGCAGCACTGGCACCAGCAGTCCAAGCAGCAGACTTCGGGCTGCCTTAAACTGTAACGATCAAAACATTCACTTCTATAAATACACGAATGACAGTATCTAATACTTTCTAAAGAGTGACATTAATAAGTAGCCATTTGCATGACAGCTCAATCTGCAACAGTGTTTGATAAGTTTGATAGAAGTGCCTGCTAGCTTAGCTTACTACTGACAACCAGAGAGCAGATGGTCTGTACAATATGACTGACATGCTTTACTCTTACACTGCTGGAATGTTCACAGGCTTCACATAAGATATATATCACACTTGACTGACAATGGGGATTCTGGAGAAGATAGCAGAGATAGAGAGAGAAATCTCTCGAACGCAGAAGAATAAAGGTAAGAAAATATCCTTCGTTAAATATCCCCTCATGGGCCTTTTCTTGCTTTGTATCCGTTTACTCCTCATCAGTTAAATCCCGAGTACTTCCAAACTTGTTTTGCAGCAACTGAGTACCATCTGGGTTTATTGAAAGCCAAGCTAGCCAAGTACAGAGCCCAGCTTCTGGAGCCCTCGAAGTCATCCGGAGCCAAAGGTGAAGGCTTTGATGTTATGAAATCTGGTGATGCTCGAGTGGCTCTGATTGGATTCCCCTCAGTTGGCAAGGTAAAAACGACAACATCTGCGCAATATGTTTGATGGCCAAGAGGTGGTCTAATCGAAAATCTAAATTGAAAAAAGATTTTTGCTACAAAAATAGTTTCTCGCTAATGAAGTAAAGTAATTATCTTTCAAACTAATACGCTTTACCCTGTCAAACATTTCATGAAGAAATATACATCTGTCTTTCATTTATTTTGGGCCTGTCACTATACTGAACAGTTGTGGAAAAGTATTGTCACATTTATTATTATATCCAGCAAGATAGAACTATATTTTTAAAGGTAATTACTGAAGACAGTGCTAGCTTTGTTATAAATTGATCTTCTTTGCAAATTTTATATCCACAAATATAAGTTCACCAGCAACAAACTAACAACATTTCATCTTCAGTAAAAAACAAAGCAAGTAGAATGACTTAAATGCCTTTAATTTGTATACTTTAATTTATGTATAAATTCATTTCTAGCCTTCATGTTTTTTTCTTTCTCCTCCTATTTGTCTTTTTCTGTCTTTAGCAAATTATTAACTCTTATTTTTCTCTGTATTCTGTTGACAATGGGTGTATTGTTCAATTTTGTGTAATATACACAAACATTTTCTATTATTAATGTCAATTATGTTTTGCACAAAAAAGAGGCATGCTCTAATTTATGGTGTTTTTGTAGTCTACATTTCTCAGTTTAATGACATCAACAGAAAGTGAAACAGCTTCATATGAATTCACCACCTTGACCTGCATTCCCGGTGTCATTGAGGTATTATTTATTCCAAAATATTTTTCTTTTCTCTCTGTTTTTGTTTATATCTTATTTCTATTTATGTTATTGCTGTTGTTATTATAATAATTATAATAACCAACATGATATTGGTTTCTTTTCATTTAAAAATTCAATTCTAGTACAAAGGTGCCAACATACAGCTGCTGGATTTGCCTGGTATCATTGAGGGGGCTGCACAAGGTATGTTCACTTGTGTTTTGAAGAGTTATGTATATTTGTACATGTATTTTGGCATATTAAATGTGTCCTTTCTCTGTGTTTTTGATTTAAAGGTAAGGGCAGAGGTAGACAGGTCATTGCTGTGGCCAGAACTGCAGATGTGGTCATCATGATGTTGGATGCAACTAAAGGAGAGGTTCAGAGGTGAGTTGGAACACTGGAGAGTGTTTGCACTATTGCTTTGTTTGACGATTGTTGTTTTGTGTTTTAGGGAACTTCTGGAAAAAGAACTTGAATCTGTTGGCATCAGACTCAACTGCCCCAAACCAAATATCTATTTTAAGGTCAGTGTTTTAGGTAGGGCTGCACAATTAATCGAAATTAAATTGCAAAGGCGATAAATCGCGATTAGGCAGAAGCTGCGATTGTCATGCGTATCTTTCAGTGAAGCACGGTTCTGTGATCAGCAGTAAATCTCCATCCGAAGGCCAGAGGGCGCTCTCGCGCTGAAACTCCAAATACACCCCGTAGAAGAAATCCAGGAAATCCTGAATAAACAGAAGATTTAACCAAAGCCACTAGAAGGCAAGCCTGCAACCTTTAGCCAAAAAAGCATAACGGCTAATGCTAACGCTTCCGGTTGCCAGTATGTGGGAAAAGAGACCAGAGGCTGTTTTTTTTTGTGTAGATGTCAGCGGAGGAGAGGCTTCACTACGCTGAATAAACAGCTTTTTATAGGAAACCGCTTATCATTTAATGAATCGACAGCCTATCTGCTAATCTTCAACATGTTTTACACTAAACAATACTTTTGAATTGAACTATTTTTAGAGTTTACACTAGAAAAAATTGAGTTTTATAAGAGCAACAGGTGGGATACAGCTTACAGCATTTCTCATTCATTCCTATGGTATCTGTAAACGGCGATTGAGTGTCGCACAACTCTTTTTACGTGAAATTAATTGACGTCAAGGCTGTAATGTGATTGGTTATTAAGGTACATGTGATCCTAGTTGACCGTTACGCCTTCTCCAATAGCAAGTAATACAGACCCTCGTATCTCCCTATATTAAGACAAGCTCTGATTTAACTGCTTTCATTGATTCAACGTGACTAATAAACACACGACTACGACAATATATGGTTTATCTGAGTTCGTCTTATTATAATGTTTATTTTGATAAAGTATATAATAATGCAATGCTAATCGACATAGCCTTTAGCGCTGCTCAGAATTCTATGAAATATGTTATTCTGTGTAAGAAGCCACATCATCTCACCGAAAGATTTATTTCAAACACTCGACTGACTTTATGAAGTGAGTTTGGAGTAAAAACACGTTATTAAATGTGATATTTTCACGTGCTTTCAGATGGAGCAGCATTTACTACACAGTTCACTGACAAGCTACGCAAACAGCTTTGATAATCGCAGAACAAATTCATTATCGCGCGATTAAATCATCTGCGAACACGATTTTGCATAGCTTGTCAGTGAACTACAGCTCTGTGTAGTAAATGCTGCTCCATCTGAAAGTACGTGCTGGAGATTTACTACTGATCACAGAACCAGCTTTACTGATGAGATGCGCGCCATGACAATCGCATTTGATTAATCGTGCAGCCCTAGTTTTAGGTTTTTTGCTGTTA